AGCTGCACAATTCTACCCCTTGTACTGTATATATTTTACAAGTTACTTAAGAGCATTTATTTTGTATCTTGAATAATCTTAAAAGAACAAGGCAGAATACTTCCAAGTGTGCATACTAGATAAGAGTCTCTTTAGAAAGTAGTGAATTAAGGAGGGGGGAAGAAAAATGTTTAAGCAAAGCTCATGCCAAAAAATAAAACACTGCTTTGTATTCAATTTTGCTGTGTGACCCACATCTGAGCAGTCCCAACAGTAACATCACTTCTCATCCCTGATACGTATATTGAGTCCCTAAAGGGCTCTTTCTATAATTACATGGTTTCAAGTACATCAGTCTTTGAGGCATTCTATTAAAGTGTCACTTGAGTCAAAAATACTTCCCACAAAACCATCTCACCCGCCTCCTTCCATTCCTTTCTCATCATTCATTTGTAGATTAATACCTGAGTTTAAACCATTTGTGATGATGGACCTCTCTACTTTTTCCTCATCTCTCAATACCAAATTCTACAATTAAGTGTATACGTTGCTGAGAGACAAAAAAATAAGCTTGTATCACTAAAATCATCTCAAGCGTATGGTATATTAAATACTTACAATATATTTTAGCATAACTAAAGTGGAAGTACGTAGGGATTTTATAACATATACATCTTGCCTGGGAGATGTCTTTGTGTTATATATATAAATGTATTAACCTAGAAGATTCTGTATTCATCAATCTGCAGTGATCACACTCCAGGTATTTTCAAAGAGGCCCACTGGTGATTCTGTCACACATTTTCTGGCTGAGAACCACAGAGAACTGTATTTCAATTGTCTTCAATGTGTGTGTTCCAATTTAAGTATGGTCTCCACCTCAAAAGAAATTAATCTAGGGTCATTAACCTTGAACTATAGTGCAGAAAATTTTGCTGACTTAAAGGATCTTATTTTTAAACTTCCTGTAGAAAATGTAGTAATGTTTTTTTTTTCCTTTACAAGTAGAAAACAAAATTTTTAGTGCCTACAACTAACTTTAGCTATAGTTCAAAAGTTATTTTATGTAAAATCACAGCATGAAAAGTTAAACATTTCTAATTCTCTGTCCAACTGTGGTACTGTAACAGAGTATTTAATTATAAATTAGTTTTTATTTTGCCTAGCTTCAGAATGAATATAGATACTTAATCTTTTCCTCCTATATTCTACAAAACCAAAAAACCAAACCCACTGCCATTGATTCAGTTCCGACTCATAATGACCCCACAGGACAGAGTAGAACTGTGCCACAGGATTTCCAAGGCTGTCAATCTTTACAGCAGCAGGATGCCACATCTTCCTCCTATGGAGGAAATAGTGGGTTTGAATCATGGACCTTTAGGCTGGCAGGCAAGCGCTTTAACCACTGTGCCACTAGGGCTTCCTGTATCTTGCATGTAAGATCATTTTATTTATAAAAAGAAAAATGTTAGTCTTTTTTTAAGAGTTAGAAGTCACTGAAACATTTTTTATATCAAGCACCCAATAAATAGTGATGAAGGCACATGAAGTGTAACAAAATTTTTTAATATTCAAATTTCCTTGTTCATTAAAATTCGTGCCCATCAAAAATACATACAGTAAGAAAAACATTAAAATGTTCTCTAACTCACTTAATAAGTAAGTTTAGTTGGATAGGAAATTTATTCAGAATACACTCCACTGAAAACAGTAAACATCATCAATGAACTGCGTGTCAATTTCAATATCGTATTTCTGAGATTCTTAGACACTTGGTAACCCTGTGACATCTCTGCATTAGGGATGTGTCTTACAGTCACTGGCATGTCCTTTTGGAATCATTTATAATTTCTAAGTGGTGCTCTTAAAATCACGGCCACTTGTTGGGAGTGATGGCGTCATAGTGACCCCATGTGACAGAGTAGAACTCCCCCTTAGATCTGATGAAGACAAACATTAAAAAAAAAAAAAGTGTTTCCAATTAAGACAGGTCACTTTTTCTTTGTAAATGTAACAAAACTACTTCCACCTCCTCAAAACAACCCTAAATGTGTGTTTCCATACATTAGGAACTTTTGTAAGTGAAATGTGGTAAATACATTTAATGAAGTAACTAAAATTTCTCAAGACAACAGAAACTGTTCTGGTAAGAATGTACTAGGTTAAATAATGGACAAATCAATCTTATCCATTAAATATTACATGAAGTAATTTCCAGAGTTTTGCTCAAATAATTTTATGCTGTTTCCATCTTTCATTATAAATCTTTCAAAGTATTTGTCCTATATACAGAAATATAATTAGAATAAAAGAGTATTCTACCTATATAATGAAGCTAAAGATTTATTTGTTGTAACAATAGCTTCATTTACAAAACAAGGAAAGTATATGACATTCACCTATGGAGAAGCCTCTTATCTAATGAAATGTTTGGACACATATAAAAAACGTTCAAAAAATAAATAGTTCTGTCCACTCACACATACTGCAGAATGTCAAATGACTTCTACCATGTCACAAATTTCAATGCTTGTGATTTGGTGTCTAATGCAGTTACTGCCTGCCGTACTTCAAAACACGTTACTGAAGTGGCTCGCTCACTCCTGGCCTATTTTCAAATTGCTAACATTTTAGTGACAGAATTATGATCAAAATCATCAAGAATGTGAAAAGTCCATATCAAACTTTGCAAAGGAAGATAATTAGCTTTTCTCTCCATCACATTAAAAAAAAAAAAAAAAAGATGAGTGCTAATATCCATTGTGGACATTTCAGTATAAGGAAGAATAATGTCCTTTCGTTTAAATGTTATTCAACAAAACAAGGACAAGATGAGAACAAGTGCACTGATTTTTTCAGCTCTTTGAAAGGAGCGACATCACAATAGATGAGGCCACTTTCACCGTGCAGTCTTCAAACCAGAAGAACACTTGAATTTACTGATTCCAAGTTTGCAAATGCAGGACCAACAGTGATTTTAAAAAAATCTTTGGATCAGGAATTACTAGAAAGTCTCACATTTTATTCCTACTTATTCCAAGTATATGTAACTCAATGAAAATTACAACTAAAGTAGTTTGCAAGAAATCCCAGTCAATACAATTTCCTTAAGGAGAGACTAACCTTTCCTGAACATTACAATTTTGTATCAGTGTCTGTTTTTCACTTCACCCTAGGAAAAGATCCAAAACCAATTCAAATGACTCACTGTATTGGTTACATTACAGATAAAAGACCAAATTTCTCCTCTCACCCACTTCTCCAAACAAAACAACAAAATAAATGATGTACTATCTCTACTCAGAATGTGTAAAATGAAGAAACTTTATTGCTGACTAGGAACCGTAAAGCCCTTACAATCCTCTAGGGTCAGCAGAGGTGGGCAAAATCAAGCCCTATTCAAAGGGCAGGTGCACGCTATTGTTTTGGAGGCTTGACAAGTGTAGCTCAGGAACTGTAGGTAAGGAGAGCAAATGCTCAATTGCTGGAAATGCATAGGAAACAAAATGGCTCTTCAAAAAGCCAAATGAAAGCCGTTCTTCAGAAACTAAAAAACACCAGTGGTTTTCTACATGTGTGTACACGTAAAACCCAAAGGAGAAACAAACAGCAAATAAATGAACACTATATAAAGCAAAAAGAAATAAACAGGAAATCAACCCCAATAGTTCTGCTACTCAATTTACCTCAGAAGCTAATCTAAACAGTGTCACTCAGAGTCTACAAAGCACACAACGGGATATTGTTGTGATACAAATATTTTCTAATCCACCAATACTGTGGTACATTCTGTGCAATTAATTCTGCACTCCAGAAATTCACTTCAGACAACTGACTGGTTTAAGTACTGTGGGCTAGCACTATCGATGTTGAACAGCAAATAGAGTGGAAACCAATAGAGCGCAGGCATTTGTGTGAATTTGGGCATCATGCTTAACTATATTATAAATGAACCACCAAACCTTTTTTTTTTTTAAAAAAAAAACAATACTTCCTATTTTACTTTCATTAAGACTAGGAGCTATTACTATGAACAGTATTAATTACCTAACTTCCTGTAATTTTCTATCAGGTTTCAGAGACTATTTTATCATCTAAACGTTTTTAACTTTCTTATGTTTCTCTGTATGTACATGAAGATAAACACACAGAGAAACTGAAGCCTACATATGATTTACACACTAAATATGCACAGATATTACATACATACTAAGGAGAGACTGCATGATTTTTATATCAAAGTACATGCTTTTTCCACCACACAGTTCTTCATCAGTTAGGAGGAATAGAAAACTTTTTCAACAACTAAACACATGCTGCTTATGATGCGAGGTTTTAAGAATTTGTAGGTTAAAAAAATACAATTCCTAGAACACTGTTATCAAACAAATAAGTTTTATTGGCATCTAAAAACAAAACTCACCCAACATTGAAACGTACTTCCATATTGTGTTTTCTTTGTTCTTTTGTACTCACTGCAGTATGAGGAACAAATCACACACGCTTACTTTGGAGAAACAGAGACCATAGTGTAGATTTTACAAAATCACTGTTTAAATCTCTGTATTGTGCTCCTCAAATATCTAGAGCCAGTCTTTGCATAAAATATCACAGCTTTGTCTATTTAAAATTCTGCAGCAGCCTAAAGATATGGGTAAGATATACCACCACTCGCTATTCTGAATATATCTATGACCATATCCAACCTAATGGTAGTATCTAAAAAATTCTTTCTTCCATAGGAAGTCTCTGACAAGCTGTTATTCATTTCCTTGAAGTTAAAAGAATCTGGGGGCAACATTTATATTTTACCAGAAAAATAAAAAAATGTTTACCTACCATGTTCATATTAAGAACAATGTCTATACAAGTCAGTTGTACAATTATTTTAAGAGAAAGGTGAACATGAACATCAGATTAACTTAATTCTGGCAGACAAAAGTGAACAACTATGGTCCAGTCAGCCATTAATCTATTACAGAGAGATGACAACTTTACAAAAGGTATCTTTTACCTACTGAGTGATGATTATGTCCCCTCAGTTTCTGTGCTTTCTACCACTGGTTCACTTTCTATATCAGCAACTGTGTCACTCTTCTCCTTGTTTATCTCACTTGAAGGCGTCAGTTTTTCATAAAGTTCAGGATCATTCTGTACTTGTAAAGGAGGTGGTTGAGCATGTCTCTCTGTATTTTCACCATTGACCTGAGGCACATTATCACCTTTTCGTTGAGAAGTGGCCCCTTCAAAATAATCAAAAACCCGAGGAGCATGAGGAGGTGGGACCCAGGTGTTTGGAATTCTGTCTCGTCCAAGACGATTTCCATTAATTTCTCTGCAGAAATCAAAATCTCTGTCATCTCTATCCCTCTGCCTCTCCCAGGGTCTTCTGCGATCATCAAAATCCCTGTGAACTTCTTGTCCAAATCCTCTGTTCCAAGGACCACTTCTGGGGTCAAACCTATAGTTTCCAGGCCGAAATCTACCTCTTTCTTCATGTAAGCCTTTTGGACCACCAAAGACAGGTAGAACTCGATGCTCTCTCTCATCAAAATCTCCTCTATGCCCCCAGGGCTTCTCTGGATTAAAGCCAAAATGGTCTCTTCGACCAAGATGATCCATACCCGGCCTCACAAGGTTCTCTCTTATATCTACAGGAGGTCTTCCAAAATGATCCCTACCATCTAATGGAGGCCTTCCAGGACCTTCTCTTGGATCTACAGGCCGCCCAACCACATCCCTAACATCCACCGGGGGAGGTATACCAATGCTTTCTCTGGTTTCTAGAGGAGGAAACCGGTAATCTCTATCGCCTTCTTGTTGAATGTTATCATTCCCAAGTGGCAGCCTTTTGTCTGGATTAGGCACACTGTCTACACTTGGCCTTCCAGGAGCTAGAAAAGGTCTTTCAGGATGACTAAAAATATCTCCTGGAGGAAAAGGAGCACGAGGTGGTGGGTGAAGAGCTGAATCAAGTACTGATGGGGGAGGGAGTCCTCGGTGGGGTGGAATTCCAGGCTGGATTAAAGGAAATCTTGGTCCAGGCACCTGGGGCATCAGTCCTGGACGAATGTCTAACATTGGCATTGCAGGCATCCTTTGAGTAGAGATACTTAAAGGGGGTAAGTTCTGAGGACCAGCTGGTGGTTGTGTTGCCAAAAGTCCAGATGCATTTGGAACATGTGGTGGCTGTATTCCTACAAGTCCTGAATTGTTAGGTATATTTGGGGGAAGCACTCCCAAAAGTCCAGAATTACTCGACACACTTGGTGGCTGTATTCCCAAAACTCCAGAGTTATTTAGAATATTTGGTGGCTGGGCTCCAATAACCCCAGAACTATTGGAAGCAATAGATGGCCGGACCCCAAGAATCTCAGAATGACTTGATACATTTGGTCTTTGGACTCCCAGAATTCCAGAGTTGTTTGTCATATTTGATGGTGGTCCTCCTAAAATTGCAGAACTGCTGGAAACATCATTTGGAATCACTAAAAGGAAAAAAAGGGAAATGAGCTTCTAAATAGTCACAAAATTAAAGTCATTCAGGCATGAAAAGAAAACTGTAAACATTAATGCTATAATTTCTAGGAGTTAGCGGAATCCGCTACTTTCATGACCCCAAAATCAAGGTGCACTAGACACTAAATGAAAATTAAAGCCAGAATTACTATCTAACTCAAAACCAAACTCACTGCTGTCAAGTCTGACTCATAAGAGACTCCTTCTTGGGTTTCCAAGGCAGTTATCTCTACAGAAGTAGACTGCCCAGTCTTCCTTCTGAGGAGTGGCTGGTGGGTTTGTACCACCAGCCTTCTGGTTGGCAGTCAAATGCCTTAGGCACTATGCCACCAGAGCTCCCTAATACTATCTTTTGTTGTTGTTGTTGTTGATATGTGCCATCGAGTCGGACCGGACTCATAGCGACTCCTCCTTGGGTTTCCGAGGCAGTATCACTACGGAAGTAGATTGCCCCAAGTAGATTGCTTGGTTCAAACCGAGGAGTTCCTGGTGGGTTTGAACCGCCAGCCCTCTGGTTAGCAGTCCAGTGCCTTAGGCACTACACTACCAGAGTTCCCAAATACTATCTGTTGTTGTTGTTGTTGTTGTTTGCCGTCAAGTCGGACCCGACTCATAGTGACCCCTCCCCTTGGGTTTCCGAGGCAGTATCACTACGGAAGTAGATTACCCAATACTGATATTAAATATCCCATAGTGATATTTAAATATTAAAATACACGAGGCTGTCGGTAATCCTTATGTGCAATTTTTAACTTAACCAAAACGTCAGGTTTTATACTAATCTTCATCTTTAACAAAGATTTCCTAAAGGACTTAAAATTCTCAATATACCGATCGTGATACCTTACTAAAACGAATTTATGCTTTCAAACACCCCATCTATCACCTAGACCTAGATGGAGAAAAACCGGTAGAATAGAGTTCCTGCTAGAAGTTATGGCCACCTAATACTTGTTCATCTTTCTATAGGATAGGATACTATCCACAGGTCTACCAAAAAAAAAAAAAACAACTCACTGCTTTTGAGTTGGATCCAACTGAAAACAAAACCACCCACTTATCACTATGGAAATAGATTGCCCAATCTTCCCTCCCGAGGAGTGGTTGGTGGTTAGCAGTCAAATGCCTTAGGCACTATACTATCAGAGCTCCCATCAACAGGTATACAAGCATGGTCAATTAATCCAACTATTATTCAAATTTACACACCAACCACTAATATAAAAGCAAAGAAATTGAAGATCTGTACCAATTTCTGCAGTCTGAAATTAATCAAACATGCAACCAAGATGCACTAACAATTGAAACATGAAAGCTGAAAACAAGGATCAGTAGATGGAAAATACCGCCTTGGTGATAGAAATTTCAGATATCGCATGAAAGGACTTTGTAAGACAAATGACTAATTCATTGCAAATACCTTGTTTTCAACCATAAAAATAGTGACTGTAACACTGGGACCTCACCAGATGGAATACACAGATATCAAACCAACTACATGTGTGGAAACAGACAATGGAGAAACTCAGATCAGTCAAAACAGGCCAGGGGCTGACTGTATAACACATCATCAATTGCTCATATGCAAGTTCAAGCTGAAGCTGAAGAAAATGAAAACAAGTCCACAAGAGTCAAAACACAACCCTAAGTATATCCAATCTGAGTTTAGAGACCACCTCAAAAATAGATCTGACACAGCAAATGCTAATGACTGAAGATCAGACAAGTTGTGGAATGATATCAAGGGCATCATACACAAGGAAAGCAAAAGGTTATTAAAAAGACAGGAAAGATAAAAAGTAAATAAAAAGCAAAGAAGAAAGAAAAGAAATGAATGTCAGGATAGAGTCTGAAACTTAAACAGAGAGTAGCTGAAGTGAACGGAAGAAATGATGACGTGAAAGATCTAAGCAGAAGAGTGCAAAGGGCAGCTTGAGAAGACAAAGTATTATAATGAAATGTGCAAACACCTGGAGTTAAAAAATCGAAAGAGAAGAGTATGCTCAGTATTTCTCAAGCAAAAAAACTGAAGAAAAATTCAAGCTTCAAACTACAATACCAGAGGATTCAATAGGCAAAATACTGAACAATGCAAAAAAGCATCAAATGAAGGTGGAAGGAATACACAAGACACTGAAACAAAAAGAACTGTCGATGTGAAACCATTTCAGGAGGTAGCATACGATCAACAACCAATGGTATGGAAGGAAGAAGTTCAAGCTGCACTGAAGCCACTGGAAAAAACAAGGCTTCAGGAACTGATGGCGTATCAACTAAGACATTTCAACAAATGGATGCACTGATGAAGTGCTCATTTCATCTATGCCAGGAAACTGGGAAGAGAACTACCTGGCCAATCAACTAAAAGAGATCTATATTTGTGTCCATCCAAAGAAAGAAGATCAAGTAGAATTCACAAATTATCTAACAATATCATTAATATCACATGGAAGGAAAATTTTGCTAAAGATGACTGAAATATGGTACATCAATAGGGAATGAACAGAAATTCAAGCCAGATTCAGAAGACAAAGAACGAGGGATATCACTGCTGATGTCAGATGGATCTTGGCTGAGAGCAGAGAAGACCAGAAAGATGTTCACCTGTGTTTTATTGACCATGCAAAGTCATCTGACTATGTGGATCATAACAAATTATAGATAACATTGTGAAGAATGGGAATTGCAGAACGCTTAACTGTGCTCATGTGGAACCTGTATACAGACCAAGAGGTAGGTAGTTCTGACAGAACAAGGAATACTGTGTGGTTTAAAATCAGCAAAGGTGTGTGTCAGAGTTGTAGTCTTTCATCATTTTTATTCAATCTGTATGCAGAACAAATAATCCAAGAAGCTGGACTATATGAAGAGAAATACAGCATCAGTACTAAGGAAGACTAATTAACAACCAACTTGTGACAGTCAGATGACACAACCTTGATTATTGAAAGCGAAGAGGGTTTGAAGTACCTACTGATGAAGACTGCACAGTGGAATGTACAGTATGGATTACACCTTAACATAGAGAAAATAAAACTTCTCACAACTGGCCCAATAAGCAACATTGTCAAATGAAGAAAAGACTGAGGTTGTCAAGCATTTCATTTTACTTGGAGCCACAATCAACAGCCATGGAAGGAGCAAACAAGAAATCAGATGACATATTGCACTGGGCAAATCTGCTGCAGAAGACCTCTCTAAAGTGCTAAAAAGCAAAGATGTCACTTTGAGAAGTAAGGTGCACCTGACCCAAGCTATGGTATTTTCAACTGCCTCATATGCATATGAAAGATGCACAAACAGAGAATTGATGCCGTTGAGTAATGGTGCTGGTAAAGAATACTGACTATACCACGGACTGCTAAAAGTCTGAACAAATCTGTTTTAGAAGAAAAAGAGCCAGGGCGCTCTTTACAAGCAAGGATGGTGAGACTTGGTCTCAAGTATACTATCAGCATACTATCAGAAGGGACAAGTCCCTGGAGAAGGACATCATTCTTGGCAAAGTAGGGGGTCAGCAGAAAAGAGGAAGACTCTCAACCAGATGGATTGATACAGTGCTTGGAACAATGGGCCCAAGCAAAGCAATGACTGTGAGGATGGAACAGGACTGTGCAAGTGCTTCATTCTGTTATACACTGAGTTGCTGTGAGTCAGACCCGACTCGATGGCACCTAACACAACAAGAACAAATAGGTATACAGATTTTGTACAACCTTATTGAACAATATATTGACTGTGTCCCAACAGGCAAAAAAAACCAAACTACCAGGGATCTTAATGGAAATGTGTCAAACCTACACCATGCTGAAGAATGTCTATATATATATATATATATATATATATATACACATATATGTATTTTAGCAGAAATTTTAGATCCTTGTGATCACTTTTAAAAAAATAAAGCTGAACATTTTAACATTTATGCACTAAATTAGTTACAAACACATACTACTTCAGAATTAAGTAAAAATACAGAGAAGTAATGCCTATAATTTAACCATGTAGACGAGGATTTGTTTACCTGCTCTGTGGTTTTCACCAGAAGCAATCTGGTGGTCTGTAAGATGAGGTCCTTTTTCATCGGGCTCTGCTTGTTTACTTGGAGGATTGAAAACGTTCCCAGCTGGCAGTGCAGAAGGAGCAAGGCTGCTGGCAACAGAACCACCTGGCAAAACAAGGCTACCAAAACCAACATCTTT